CCACGGGTCCTCCTGGATCCTGACACCCCCCTGATGCCCCCCCCAGAGGGCAGCCTGCAGCAAGTGCAGCTGGGCTGATGGCAATGACTCCATGAGATGCACCGGCGTGCCCAGGGGCAGCTCTGGCTCCATGGGGCCGAGTGCTGTGGTGTCCCGAGTGCGGGTACTCAGGGCACTCCAAGAAAGGACTGATTTGCTGTCCCTCATCAAGGTAGACAAGCAAGCAGGGAATCCTGAGAATTGTCTGTCCGGGGTGGGGGTAGGGTCCCTTTAAGCACGGAGCTCAGTTAGCCTCAGGCAGAAGCCCCACACACTAAGTCCTAACCTGATGCCCTGGCAGCACTGGTTCCGGGCAGCCTTAACTTCGGTTCAGGATCCACTCAGTGTGGACGTGCTATTTCAAAATAGCAAAACGCTATTTTGAAATAGTTTTTGTGTGTAGATGCGTTAATTCGAATTAGCTTAATTCGAATTAACTATTTTGAATTAAGTTAATTTGAAATAGCGCTGTAGTGTAGACATACCCTTAGGCACTTATCTTCATCTTTTGGCACCTAAATACCTTTTAAAATCAGTCCCCTTAGTGAGATGTAGGCTTCTAAGTCACTTAGGACCTTTTGAAAATTGTCTTCAGGATTCTTAAAAGATCAAGCAGGGTTTATCAGTTCTGTTATTGGAAGCATTTATACTAAAAATATTGCTTGGGAATTATGGGATGCAGAATCCAATGTGTACAATTTAACTAGCGCTTTATGTCTTCAAAGTATTTTATAGACATTAGCAGCTAATTAATCCTTATAACCCCCTGGTTAGAAGGTAAAGATGACTAGCTCTATTTATCGACGGGGAAACAGAGACAGGAGAAGGTGAAGAGACCTGTTAGCAGCAGATCTGGGCTTGGAACTCAAGAGGAAATCTGGGCCAATAATGGATTTTTTTAGTTCTCTGGCAGTTGGGTTTAAAAATATAAAAAACTTTTCAGGTCAGACCAAAAACAAACACTTTCAGCTCTTGAAAAGAAAAAAAAGAAAAAAACCATTTCAAGTCAAGTTGAAACAAAAGGTTTTGTTTGGACCCACCCTGCAAGGATTGTTTGGGTGGACTTTGGGCATGTTGTATAAGATGCGATGGAAGGGAGGAGGGTGAGCCTCCCGTAGGATCTTTACCCCAGTGACTGGTCTCCTGGAACGTGGGAGACCTAGGGTTAGCTCTCCCCCTGCCTGAGATGGGGAAGGGATAGTGTCTGGGCCATGGGTACTCTGCGATGGGTCTTTCTGCAGAAGGAGTGATTTGAAACTGGGTTTCCCACATCTGAGGTGAATGGCAGAACCAGTATGTCATAAGTCACGGTCATTCTGAATGAGTCTATTGTATTCCCAAAGTTTCATTTTTCTCTTCTCAGTAAGCCAAAGTTTCTCCATTGACTTCAGTGGCATTGCTCACGATGTCCACAAATGAAAGGGAGAAGACAGGTCCTCCACCTTGAAAAGTCTCACAACCCTAACCTCATACAGGCAGGCAAACCTCTTATGCTCGGAAGTGCAGTACAGCAAGAACAGAACCGGCCCTACCGTCAGCACACACGTAATCTTGACCTCATATAGTTCTGCACAACACAAACACAAGAAGCTAAAATTACAGACAACACTGAGCAGACACGAATCGAGTTTACATTGTCTATGGCAAACTTAGGTTACAGTGACGAGGTTTCTTAAAGGAATCTATTCCAAGTGTATTATGTGGCCTGGTGAAGTTATTTAGTGGAATGGCAAAGAGTCATTGACTTCAATGCTGCTGTGCTGATTGACTAAAGTTCTGGACTGGTAGCTATTTCCAGCTATGCGGAACTAGAACTCAAAGAGTTTGCAGCCCAGCTGGCCTCCGCTCTAGGCACACGTAACAAATGAAGCCCATGGTGAACATTCAGCCCCCCTTGGGGAAAAAGCATGTAAAATGCAGCTTTAAGCCGACTCCAAAGTATGAACCCCTTGCCCTGTCTAAGGAAGCACTGTAAATAGAATCAGGTCTGTTATTGCATAGAGGACACTGGGTGATTCAGAGAATTGGTCATGGTATTCAGACGTTTTGAGCTATGTCTAAACTACAATCCTCTTTTGAGAGAGGAATGTAAATGAGGCTCATCGAAAATGCAAAAGCTATGTCTAAACTACAATCCTCTTTTGAGAAAGGAATGTAAATGAGGCTCATCAAAAATGCAAATGAAGATTTACAAATCTTGTGCTTCATTTGCATAATTGTGTGAGAGCACTTTTTCGAAAAGGGTTTTTGAAAAAGAAACTGCAGTCTAAATGGGGTTCTTAAAGCACTTTTTCGAAAAAGGGGTTTTTGAAAAAGAAACTGTAGTCTAAATGGGGTTCTTAAAAAAACAACCCCTTTTTTGAAAGAACCCATGCACCTCATTTTTTCAGGAGTACGGGTTCTTTTGAAAAAGGGTTTTTTTTTCGAAAGAACCCTGTCTACACTGTGGTTTCTTTTTCAAAAAACCCTTTTTCGAAAAAGCGCTTTCATGCAATTATGCAAATGAAGCACGAGATTTGTAAATCCATGCTTCCTTTGAATTTCCGAATGGCTTCATTTACATTCCTCTTTTGAAGGGGAATACATTTTAGACGTCAGTATTAAGCAGACAAAACGGGTTTGTCAGTTGGCAAGAAAATATTAACTGCACCTGAAAGATTTGCACCTACAATAAAATAACAATTCACTAACAAGCCTCAACTGAGTGAGAATTCCATTAAAATCAATGGAGATTATTAGTTTAAAACCTGTGGATAGTTTTCATAATGATACATAGAATGGCCGACTCTCCAAGTAGATAATTAGAAAATGAGGATGCCTGGTCTTGCTGCATGTACTAGAGGGAAGGAAAGAGAAAAGAGTAGAAGGTACCAGTAAAGTTAGTATTTGCAGGGATTTCAAAGTTCTGATAACAGACACAGTTTCATAATTAGGCATTCGAGAACTGACCAGTTCAAAAAGAATTTCAGCTGGCCTAATGTAAGTTTTTCTAGTGCTAGAGGACAGGGAGGCTTAATATAGTTCTGATTTTTGGACCAAATACAAAGGTACAAAATAAGATTGAGAAACTGAAAAATGCAGGAAGTATGCAGTGCTGTGGGCCATGTTATTTCTTCTTTACAATTATTTCAGAGACCGAACAGCTCCAAGAGGAAATATTTACCAATTATAATTATTACAAATATAATTATTCTATAGATTAAATTTAAACCACCCACTAATAGACCAGAAGTAAAAAACTCTCAACTGTGATTCTTCACAGGGCAAAACACAACTGTATCTATGGGCACAAAAGGAGACAACTCCACAGTGGTATATGAAACAACGACAGATCGTACCACGGCTGCCCCTCTCACTGCTTCCCCGTTTGAGAGCACAACCGCCTTAGCCGCCAGCACGGTGGAAGAGCCAAGCCCTACGATCTCTCCCGTAGCCGAGACGAGCACAACACAAGGCACCAGTGCACCAGTATCTACAGAAGTTGCGTTTTCTTCATCTGATACCAATCTCAGTCCTTCAGCCTCTGGTAATGGAGCAACAACAGCTACTTCAGCACCAGAAAACGGTACCGTCTTTTGTACAATTCGTTTAGTCTTATTTTGGTTACTTCATGTCCCATCTGCAGTTCAGATGAGATGGATGAGTATCAAGCCATTGAAATGATTTTCTTTATTTCTCCTTTATCGCTAGGGACCATAGTCATTGTTTCAAATGGCTTTCGATCCGAACTGGCATATTCTCCAACAAGTGCTCCCCACTCTCCATCCAGCGCAACTGGCAGCAGTATTGCACCCATTGAGAAATCTGCAACTTCCTCTGTTGGCCATGGTGTAGCCGAGACATCAACATCCTTCAGCACAGCTGCTGCACAAGAGCGCCTTACATCTTCTTCTTTCCCCAGTTTCCCAGGTAAGACGAGAAGCATGTTTCACAGCAAATTCTGGGTCATGCCTGTAGTGCACGTTTGAAGAGAGTACTTGTCCTTTGGTTGCTGTGTGTACTGGACAGTGTCCTGTAGTGTGGAGTCACAACCTGATCTGTTGCATGCCCACCTGTGCAGGGAGGCGGGGAGTTGTTTAGGAGATCTCTGAAGGCTTCCCCTCTGCTCTTTGGTCTGTGATGTATGCTGTTGGTGCACTGGATTCAGGAGATTTCTTGCATCCAGGGTGCCATCCTTTCTGCTGGAGAGCCACATTTGTCTGAAAACGATATTTTTGTAAAATTAAAGGGGAAGCAGTGGACCTGCCATCGGAAGTAGCTAAGTATTATTATCCCCATTTTATGGATGGGTAAAGAGAGGATTTTAGCATCTTGCTCATGAACACAGAGTAAATCAGAAGCATACATGGCATTAGAATTCAAGGTACCTTCTAGTCCTTAGAGAACAAAGCGGTTATTAAATAATAATACAATCACGTACTATGTCTGGAACAGCCCTGTCCAAGGAGCAGTGTGGGTGGATTTTTACATCCGGGCAATGCTAGATTTAGCACAAGCTAAGTAAGCAACTGCTTAGGGCCTCTAAATACCAAAAAAAGTGCTAGTTTTTAGTTGCATCCTCTCTAGGTACCAGTGAATATGGAAACGTAAAACTTGATTATTTCTATTTTCATTGTCCTTTATGTTACAGTAATACACATTTTTGGTAATGCTCTAGTGCCTCTTCAACTTAACATAGCCTAGGGCCATGGTGTCCAGCCAGTTCTGAAGCACTAGTCACCATAGCGGCTACCAAAAGTGCTAGTTTTTAGTTGCATCCTCTCTAGGTACCAGTGAATATGGAAACGTAAAACTTGATTATTTCTATTTTCATTGTCCTTTATGTTACAGTAATACACATTTTTGGTAATGCTCTAGTGCCTCTTCAACTTAACATAGCCTAGGGCCATGGTGTCCAGCCAGTTCTGAAGCACTAGTCACCATAGCGGCTACCAATATAGTGGCTAACAAAATTTCGGACTAACCCCAACTGCCCAATGAGCCACAGGTGGCTAGTGGCTAGCGTGTCGGACATCAGCATGTCTTAATCCAGCCCTTCGTCTGGATGAGTTGCACTGAAGTGACCAGTAGATTGCATACTATACTGCTGGGCATATCTCAATCACTCTTGAAAAACGAGTAGTCCTATGGCACCTTAGAGACCTACAAAAATATATAGTACGATGAGCTTTCATGGGTAAGAGCCACTTCATTGTCCAGACATGCATCTGACGAAGTGGGTCTTTACCCACGAAAGCTTATGCTCCAACACTTTGGTTAGTCTGTAAGGTGCCACAGGACTGCTGGCCGCTTTTGCAGATTCAGACTGACACGGCTACCCCTCTGATACTTCATTGTCCTTTGTCATCTGTGTGGCATCTGTAGTTCCTCAAAGCCTCCAGCAGGTGGGAGTGTTTGGTCACAAATAGCCCACTGAAAGCTTTGTGACGTGAAAGGACAGCTGTCAAAGGGCGCTTTGAAATGCCCTGCGGAGACTGGTCCCAGCTGATCCCGGGCTCCATGTGGCATTTCAAAGTGGTGCCACACGGAGCCTGGGACCCTGAGATGAGCCCCAGTTCCTGTGAAATATGAAGGAGTAAATAATACTTCCCTCCTCAGTTCCTCTACATCATTCCTGATTATATAGACCAGGGGTGGGCAAAAGCCTCTCAGCATGCTGGATCCATCCCATCTTGGGCTTTGATCCGGCCCACAAGGCAATTACAGGCCCTGCCCCATAATTACAGGCTTTGCTGGGGGAAGGAGCTCAGCCCTGCCCCTCTTCCCCCCACGCAGCCGCTGGAGAACGCATCCTCCTCCTGCAGCAGGTGAGGCTGCAGTGAGGGAGACAGCACTGGGGCTGAGGCTCCTCAGTGGCACCTCGGCCATGTGGTCCAGGACTGGGGCTGAAGGCTGGAGGCGCCGCTGCCACATG